TAAAAGTAATCCCTAAACTAATGAATACAACTACCAAAAAACATGACCTACTGGTTGAATGGCATGACTAAAGGTATAATTTATAGAGCTAGTATCAGACATGATGGTGATGTCAAATTCTATTTTGGTTCAACTTAAAACCATTGGAAATCATGTTTCTACTATTACCAAATGACATTAGGCAATATTAAATATAGTAACAACAATGCCCTCTCTAAATTTTTCTGGAAAATAAAAATTAGCAATAGAAACCCAAAAACCAAGCCTTTCAGCAGAAAAGGTAATAAATGTAATTTATATCTTTTATAAAAAATTGTCATCCTAAAGCATACAGATAACCCTAATTTGTTAAACAAAAAGAAGTGAATTAATGACCTCATGCAAACATAGAAACAAATACCTGCTCAAACATGTTGACCCAGATTAATATAATTTTTCTCTCATTCAGACCCCACATATACAATTATTATTACTATTACCTATTATTATTATTATTATTACATTATTAATATTGTTAGTATTATTATTATTATATTATTAATATTGTTAGTATAATCATTATTATTATCATATTATTAATATTACTATTACCTATTATTATTACTATTATTGTTATTTTATTATTGTTGTTCCTATCGTTTTTATTATCGCTATCACCTTTAAGTGTTTTACCCCAGGCAAAAAAGAGTTATCCCCCTTGAAACATAGTATAAATCCTTTTCAACATATTTAGCCACCAGTGTTCTTCAATTTTAAATTGGAATTCTTTAATTTTTAAATTTTAATTTTAATTGCAAGTTTGAACCTAAATTTAAATTTAGATTATAGTACAATTAAATATTTAATAATAGTAATAAATTACCCAACTTCACTAATGTCACAGGACCCAGAAATTTAAACCCTATAACAACCAGTTTAGTTATACCTGATGATTACCCAGTGCATGAAACTCCGAGTCATACTGTCAGTATGGGGTATTATGTACATTTATTAATATACTAGCAGGCTTCGCCTGCTCACTATCACTTTGCAAAGAAAATATATTCACTAATTGAAATCTTTGAAACAAAATTTTAAATGAACATTTCATTCATAAATTGGCTTGTTATAGTTAAGGAAAGTTTTACAAATAGATGCCAACTTGTTAAAGGCCAAGTAAAATGTGAATTTCAAACACTTTTCTGCACTATATAAGATGATATTCTTAAACATAACTGTTTTTGATATGAAAATCAAAACAATCCTTGAATAAAAGAACAATGAAGTATAATTACGGTTGCAGGGGCTCTGGAATTTTTGTTCCTTGCCTGGGTATATGCACTTGGGCTCCCCACATTAAACCAACTGTGTCACAACCTGACCTCATGGGGGTTGAGTAAATACAAATTACTCTCTCTCAAGTAGTTTGTACCACTATTTATCATCTCTCAGTTGTGTCTCTGTCCTTAGGCAGAGTGCACTCGGGGCCGACTACATCAAAGGACAAAGTCACAACTGAGGAAAATTATGCTGAGATGAGCCAGCCCTGGGGAACAGGTGCCTGAGGCCACATTCTCTCATTGCACTAGAGAGAGGGATTGGTGCACACACCAGGACCAGTGCAACCGACAGTTGCTAGGGCTCAGGAATTTTGTTCCTTGCCTGGGTGTACACGCTCAGGTTCCCTGCATTAAACCAACGTTGTGTCACAACCTGACCTGGGGTGGGGGAGTAAATATAGATTACTCTTGAGTAGTTTGTAACATGTTTCTTCATCATCTCTCAGTTGCGACTGTCTTTCCATCAAGGAACAGAGTCGCAACTGAGGAAAATTATACTGAGAGATGCCCAGTCCAGAGAATTTTTGCTCCTAGCCCATGTGTACGCACTTGAATCAATACCTTAAATTACTAGAGAGTTCACATGTTTATTTATCATCTCTCAGTTGCGTTACTGTCTTTGGGCAGAGTGTGACTCAGTTGCAGCTCTGTCAGAGGACAGAGGTGCAACTAAGGAAAGTCCCACTGTGAGGTGTCCAGCCCTCGGGAGCAGATGCTCAAGGTTGCACTCTCTCATTGCACTAGAGTGGGATTGGTGCTCACACTGAAGCCTTCACAACCGACAGTTCAGGGGCTCAGGGAATTTTTGTCTTTAGCCTGAGTGTACACACTCAGGTTCCCCACATTAAGATGACCTTGTGTCTTAACCTGACTCTGTTGTTGGCAAATAAATACCTACTATAAAGTAGAGCTGGGGCTTTTTAATCTCAAAATTCATGTGAGAGCTCAAATTTCACATTTATTCTTGTAGATTTTATAATATAGGTTTTACTTAATTAGCTATTATGTTTCTCTAATTCTTCAAATGTTGAATGTTTAACTAATTCTAATTTATATATTCCCATCTTTATATTTTATCTTATAAACTGTCTTCTGTTCTGTCACCCATGAAATAAAAATAATTGTTTGTACAGAAAATAAGAATCTGCGTACATCAAATCATCTTTAAATTAAGTGGCAGCAAAATTATTGTTGAACTTTTAAAAGGTAAGCTTAAACATTAATTCAATACTTAAATGCTGTGATCAATTTTGAGTTCTTCTGTAGTTTTTGATGCCTATTGCATCTACTCCTCTCTAGTCATTGGGATGATGGCCAAACCAAGAGTCCTCCACAGAAGCTAGCTTAAATTCTGGCTGATAGGGTGGCTTTTAAACTATTTGTAATAAAACATGCACTGCAATTTTGGATACAAAAGGAAAAATAAGAGTTACTCCCCTTGAACCATGAAAGCAACAATAATGGCTAGTATAATATATTAATATATATTTTTAACCTCTCATAATCTGGCAACCCTGAATCTGAGCACAACGAAAAATTGTTCCCTGCACCTAACTTTTCTAGGGCTTCTGAATGAGCTATGAATCATTGAAATCAGACCAGTGTGAGTGGAGGAGTTGCTTGGATAACCAAACACATTGCATACACTGTACTTTATATATAAGATAAATAATAAATAAATAAATATATTTTCTGTTTCTTTCATTCAATTTTTAATCCTTTCCTTCTGGTTACTTTTCTATTTCCTTAAATGCTATATCTCTTCAGGAAGTAGGTGATCATGGCACACCACAGATTTCTTTCAGTTATTTGTGAATTGCCTTTGTGGTTTGAAATTTAGTTTTCTTTTTCTTAAATTGGTTGCTACTCCATGTAAAAGAGCTCAAACTTGGTACAATACAGTGGCCTAAAAAATTTTTTTTATTATTTTTAATAGATTTGATCAAGTTATCAACAATCGTCTAATCCATATTTGGGCCACTTCTTTAGCAAGGTTTCTTTAAGGGTTGCCATTGATGTGATTTTGGTTGCATGCTCTCAAAGTTTTCGGTGAAGGTGCTCTCAAACGTGCTCTATTGGATCCATGTCAGGACTTTGGGTTACCCATCGCAGTGACTCAATTCCTTGTGATTCCTCCAGGCCTTTGCTACTTTGCTCATATGACATGGTGCTCCATTTTCTTGAAAAATGTAAACATTCTTGTCAATCTGATTGGTTTCAAATAGTGGGAGTATTCCTTTCTCTAATATTTGACAGTATTTTGGACCATTCAACCACTTAACAAGAATCAGCTCAGATTTTCTCCAGACCAGACAGTGCCTCACACCATTACTCCAATCCCTCCACGTTTCACAGTTGCCTGCAGATATTCAGTGTTTCAAGTCTCATTCTGATTTCTCCAAACATAAACCTGCCTTGAATTCAAATATTGGCAGAATTTACTTTCATCTGTCCAAATTACAGACTGCCAAAATTAATAATCTTTGCTCTCGAATTCTCTTTCCCAGTCCATACGCCTGTTCCTGTTAACCTCTAAAATCAAGGGCTTCTTTCTTGCAACACTTCTTTGATAGCCTAGATCTTTCAGAGTCTTCTTCACTGCATATGGCGACATTTCCATGCTGTTGATGACATCTTTGACACTCTGACAATGGTTTCTGATAACTTCCTCCTTCAGCACCCTCTTCATTCGCTCAGACACTATGCTTGTTCTTCCTGAACGTTGTTCCACACAACAATGGCCTTCTTCATTAAAGTTCTTGACAATATTATTAACCATTTGATGATTAACCTGGAAAAACCTAGCAATTTCTCTGTTTGACTTGCCACACTGATGCCATCCTATTATTTGCCCTTGTTGAAATTCACTAATTTCCTTACTTCTGCGAACTTTCATTGCAAAACATAAGTCAACTATCGTTTATAGATTAGAGTAGCTTGATACTAACATGATATCTGAGAAAAAAAAAAAAAAGATACATTATCACACAAGCCAGAATTGCTGTAATTAAGGGTGGCTAAAAACTTATAATAGCCCACTATATATTCAGAATGTAGGTTTTTTTTTTTTTTGTTTGTTACTCACACACACAGGTCTGGTGAAAAGTTCTCAGCCCAGTTGACTTGCTAAAATTTCGCCAAACATTAGAATTTTGGTGGTAAACCTTATTTAGCCTAGGAATTTTCAGCAACCTGTTATGAGAGAGACAGAGAGAGAGTTGGTTTTTTTTTTTTTGGTTTTTTCCTGAAATTACTCATTGCTTTTCAAACTGATTAAATATCAATATTAAATCACTCTCCTGATCAAATTTTAAATTCAATACATAAAATATTTTAGAAGCTAATTCATTAATAAAGATTTATTTTAGCACAGATTAAAAAAAATAAAAATTCAGAAAAGTTGAATAATGGTCTAACACTTGAGTGTGATACTAATTTCATAAATGGACTATTACACAAAATAAATGAACTGAATTATACTTCTTAATGTGAACTTCATAATTAACTTCATATTTGAATCAAATCAAACAGAAGCAGTAGCTATTAAGCCTTTGGTTGAAAGAAGAGATTAATTTTAAATGAAAACTCTAGATTAATAAATAATAGTTGTGTTTGTATAAAAAAAAAAAAAAAAATATCAGATAAATTTTTATTTTTTTTTTTTTTTTTTTTTTTTTCCAGAGCTTAAAGTACTTGATCTTCAAAGTAATCAAATCAACATGCTGCCCTCAGAAATTGGAAATCTTCATAATTTGGATTTATTGTATTTACAGAAGAATAAACTTATAGCTTTACCAATTCTGGAAAACTGTAAGTCCTTAAAGGTAAGGCAACATTTGAATAAAAATTGGTGTGCTTCTGTTTTCCATTCTATTCTTTTCTTACTGCTGAACTCCTTACTGAGGATTAACCTCTCTTAGACAAATGTTGTTTGGTTTGTGAACTAACACTTGTGAGCAATTCTACATTTTTCATTTAAAGTAAACAAAATAGTGATATTTCCAGATTTAGTATATGTCTGTCTCTTTCTTTTTTTATCAATACTAATAAAAAGAAAAGATGTTTTGCTTTTGACTAGCTTCTTATTTTTTTATTATTAAAATGTTAAAAAAAATATTTCTGTTCTTAATTATTTTTAGCAAATCATTCCTTTGACTGTGAAATTAAAATGAGCATTCAAAATGAAGCTGTAATTTAGGATGAGGTTTGAATATCTTATGACATTGATCTCATCTTTCATGTATGATCAGTCAGTCCATTGTGTGCTATGCGTGATACATGCTTAGGTGATCATGTATCTTTTGCTACATGACAGAAGAGGCAGATTTTTTTCCTGCAGTAGGTTGCCATTTCTTTCTGCGGTAGACCAGTTGCCATCGATCTGTCCTTCTATTTACCTATAGCTGGGGGGGGAGAGAAGGATTCATACCTTTCTCAAGGGTATTAGCACGTAAGCAATGGATTTGACTGGAATTTGAACTCGGCTCTCCGATTACAATCTGAGCCGCTATCCATTACTACACCATGCATCCTATGGATGATACCTTAACTATTTGGACTGTCAAAATTATTCTAATATCGCAAAATTTTAATTTATAATTTTTCTTTTATTCTTTTCGCCCTTACTGTATTGTTGATGTCATCTTCGTAGTCATATTTTTAGTTTTGAGATTATCAACACATTAGTCTGAATTGAATTTTCTGAAGTGAATTGTTTTCATCTTCTTCAAGGCATTATTCATGGATGACAAGGTCTCAAAGCCTGTCATCTAAATTTTCAGACTTTAATTGTGGAAGAATAGATGAGCTAAAATGTTATGATAATAAATAACAAAAGATATAAAGAAAAACATGAAAATTAATTATGTGTGTAATAATGGGGGGGAAAAAAATTCATCTCATTATCTTAAAGGCAATTTAAAGAGCATGCCTCCTAAATTAATAACCCTAAAGAAAAAACAGATCAACTAAAAAAACTGTGTGATATATATATATATATATATATATATATATATATATATATATATATAATAAACCAATAATAAAATGTGTGTAGCAATGAAAATAACTCATCCCTCAATTTTAAAGAGTTGTGATTCTGTTGTATGTTCTGTTTGTTTCTGTTGTATTAGTTAAGAAAACACTATTGGATTTTAGATGTTTTGATTTTAAGATTCAACAGCAAAGTTAGGCTGGCTAAGAGAAATAATCAAACATGTGTAAATAAGGCAACAATTCATATTTTTTAACCAAAAAACATCTTACTTAAAACACATTTAAAAAGATGTGTTTATTTTTTTATTTTGTGTGTGTGTGTGTGTGTGTGTGCACACATGTTTGTTTAATCCCTGGAAATGGTTTTGAGGTTCTAGTTTTAAATAATTGTCTTGCAGGAATTACATTTGGGTTACAATCTGATCAATGAACTGAATGATGAACACTTGGCACCCTTGTCTCAAATTTCAATGTTGGACTTGCGAGATAATAAACTAACTGAAGTGCCTCAAGAAATAACTCTTCTGGTTAAGCTGCAGAGACTTGACCTTACTAACAATAGCTTACAAAAGTAAGTAACTTATTAAAATCAATAATTTATATATTCTTTAAAATAAAATGAGGAATCATTATACAAAGAAACATTTATAGAAACTTTCATGTTTGGAATATGTTCCGTAATTTGGAAATGATCACTTATCATTAAGTATTTTTGGATAATTAACTTCATTCTTTTTGTTATTTTCATATTGTTTTGTCTAATCACTTCTTTAGGTATACCCTCTTTATGAAAGTGGTGAGGGGGAGAGCTTTCTTTCCTTCCCTTGTCTTTGTTTTGTTATGTTTTGGTTTGTGTATTTGCTGACTTTTCTCATGTAGATGTCTGTATATTGATAAGTCCACAGCTTAATAATGAAAAAAAGCATTTATTTTACACAACAAATATTTATTTTTTCAACATCAACTCCTTTGACAAAGGACTTAAACCAGTAGTGAATATTAAGCACATAGATCAAACATTATAGACAATGTTATATGCTGCATTGGGGATGGAAATCTGTTGTTTTCATTCTTTGCATTGGCTTTCCTTTTTTAACTTAAGTTTTAACTCCTTATGCTTTTTTGAAGATAGGTACCAATTTGTGTTAGTTCACCTTAATTGGAAGATTTAAGTTCAATTCTGAAGCTGTGCATGTTTTTGTTTTTTTTTTTTTTTTTTTTACAGTCTGGTTCACCCTTTACAAGGCCCAGGGGCCACTCAAGGTAGAACGTTACAGTAGGAGGTCATTTGTGTGTAAAGGAGTGGAAGATAACGGTTAACCCTAGCCTTGAACAGACTAAGATTGTAGTAATCAGGGAAACATCCTGTTGGGAGTTGGCTCCACAGGACATTGGTTCATGGGAAGAAGCTGCTTGAGTGCAACTTACTTCTTACCAATAGAATATGGAGGGACTGTGGGTGGTTTGCTACCATGTAAGTGGCATGGCGTATTCTTGCCATGAAGGTTTGACTTGATGGGACCAGGGAATGTAGTTTGAGTTTGTCCAAGCACTTTCCATGGAAGTAGTGGTAGAGCAGCGAGAGACTTGCCACATCCCACCTGTGGGAGAGAGATTGAAGGGTGAAGAATAATTTGTCACCCCCAAGGGCTCAGAGAAATGCTTTTGGACTCAAGGCTGGGCAGCTCCTGCCCAAATATAACATTAGTGCTCCATGATCTGGCTCTTGTAAAGGTAGAGGATAGGAGGAGGAGTCAGGTACTTATCAGATCAGTACAGGGAACAGGCTGTTTTACCTGCTTCCTTAGCATTGGATTGTATGTATGAATTCCACTTGAAGAGTTCAGAGAGAGGAGGACACCAAACAAAATGAAGGAGAAGAGGACAATATTTTATCCAATCCCCTGAGAGTCTGTCTATATTTCTAATGCCAATCCCCTTAGTATTCCATTCAAAATTTGCTAAAGCTGGTCTGAAATAAATTTGAATAGCATATTAGCTGAAATATTGGGATAAATCCAACAAACATGCGGATAATCTGAATAAATATTTCAATAATAATCTTGTATTTTTTAAAACCAAATATTACAAAAATTATGACATGACTATATTGAATTTGAGTTCCAATAAAATCACTATCAAAATAAAGTTACTATTTTTTTCCTATAATTTCACTAATACTGGGTATGTAAAAGTCCCCAACAGCATCTTTATTTTTAAACTAGAATCTGAATACACAGAAATTATGTTTGAGTGTAAATTTTTCATATACTCTGTGTTGAGAGAAAGAGAAAACAATAAATATCTGTGGACAAGATACACATGTGACACTGCATGTTGTCTTTCTCCAATTGGGCAAGACAGATCAGAGGTGAAGAAGATGATTGATGAAGACTGGAAAAGGTTTGGTTGAAAGCATTATGTGCTGTGAATGGTTTGAAAAATTCAACAAAGACAAACTTTGATGGCAAATCATGCAGTGATGACTCAATCACTCAACTAGTGTAAGATATTTTCAAAATAAAGGGAAGTTTCAAATAGTTAGAAAATGAATTTTACATGAATTGTTCAAGCAAAGCATCTAACCAATTCTTGCCAGACATAAAAAAAAGAATTTTTTCCTTCACTGAAAGTTATAAAAAGTGGGTTCATTATAATAATCTGAAATGTTGAAAATCATAGGTGAATCCAAAACAGGCTGCAACAGCAAACTCTGGGGAAAATTTATTTGGTGATATGTAAAGGCATGTTGTATTATGGCTTGGTGAAGGTTGGTGAAACTGTTATAGCAAAGTATAAGTCAACACCTTCAAAATTTGATTACTGCAATATTGAAAAAAAAAACATTGTCATTTACAGGACAAAAGAGCTGGAAAGTCCTACTGCTGCAGGACAATGTTTTTTTATCCCCCTCCAAAGCATAATGGATTTGGCATGAGAAAGTTTTCCTTACATAGATCATTAACCAGACTTGATTTTATCAAATTATCATTTGTTTTGATCAATACAACATTACTCATCTGGTTCAAAATTTAAAGATGTTTTTAATGCTCAAAGTTTCATTGTCAACTTTGACATTTTTATCAAGATGGAATTTGAAAACTTGTAGAAAATTGGCCTACGGTCACAGAAAATCAAGGAAAATAATTTCATGATTAATAGATATATGTGCTTGTTATTATTAATTAAAAATTAATACATTTCTTAAATTAATTTATTAAATTTAAAAAAAAAAAGATAACTTTTACACATATCTAATATTATCAAAATTTAATTGACTTTCTATTTTAATTTATAAAAAAATCTTAATTCAATTTCCTTTTTTATTTTTTAGTAATATATATATATATATATTATATATATATATATATATATATATATATATATATATATATATATATAAATTTTAACAGGATACTTTTTGAAAAAAATTGATAAACCCAATTATCAACGTAACAAACTACACAGAAAAGTTGGGTTTTTCATGATGAACTTTCTGAGACTCACAGAAAATTCAGTTATTAATCATTGTTACCAAGCAAAGGATATGACAAGATTGTGAAACCAGCCTGTTTAATAGTCTATTCTTCTCAGTTGTATTTGCTACCAGGAAAAGATGTTAAATAAAAATATAACCAAAGTTATCTTTATCTAGATGTAGTTTGCTTTAGAGACACACTGTGATCATAAATGGCAAGGCAAGATGGCATGATTTTGAAAAACTTGAAATTATCAAAGAACCCATTATTAACATCACTGATGATGCAACCCAGTACATCTTTGTGATATATATTGAAAAAGAAACTTTTAATCCCGCTGATAGATAATAATTGCAGTAGAAAATGAAAATAGACAACCTTTTTTTCATACTGTCAAGAATTTAAATTTATTGTATAATGAAACTTAGCAATCTTCAATCAGTTTTAATATTCAATTATTTCAAATTCCTCCTTAATTGATAATTTTAGGCTATCAATTATAATCATCAAATAAAGATTTTCATCTGAAGAAATAACAAAACATTTGGTATCTCTACTAATTTTAATCTTTTTAAGAAAAGAATCAATTGTCATGATAAAAAGTTTCTTTTGGATTACTGTTTGCCAAGCACACATCATAGGTATATTCTTAAAAAATCTAATTTTTCTTTTTTACATGAAACAATTCTATAATTTTTACATAGACTTCCTGAATAAAGTTGTACCAATCAACTATTATTTTGGGACTACCTAGCCTAAGTTTCCTCAGCACAAATTCTTTGAGTACTTTGTTTACCCAGTAATAGGTAATCTTCCTACTACTGCTTTGTTGTGTGCTCAATAAATGGTAGTCAAGCCAAAGTTCCGCTGTAAATAAATTTTTTTCAGCATTTCTTGTCCATCTTTTTAAGATCAAACATTTTTTATTTTTAGCTTACCAAATGAAATTGGTCTAATGGAGAATCTTAGACACTTACAGTTTGATGGTAACCCGATCCGGAATATCCGTCGTGACATCATGAGAGTAATTAATTTTATTTCAATTTTGACATTAATTTTGATTGTTCTTTCTAAATTTGTTATTGCATTATTCTTGCTTTCTAAATTTGTTTATTAAATTATTCTTGCTTTCTAAATTTGTTTATTAAATTATTCTTGCTTTCTAAATTTGTTTATTAAAAGAGATAAATAATAAATTGGATTATTTAAAATAAAAATGCAGTTGGTCATAATTACAATGTAACTTCTTTGAGTCTTATTTAAAAATAAACAGAAAATCAAGCCACTATTTTCTAGTTTCCTCTACTAAGTCTTGTCATACTGATTGTGCACCTGAAGAAAACTAGCATTCAATGATAAAAATATTGTAACACCAAGCTCTTCAGAATAACAGAGAATCTCGTGCCGTGGCCCTAGACATCTCCAAAGCATTTGATAGAATTTGGCATGCTGGCCTTCTTCGCAAGCTCCAGGGTCATGGTATTACAGGTCAATTGTTTGATTTAATACAATCATTTCTGTTTAACCGTGAATTGAAGATCTTTCTCAATGGATTCTCCTCCAGCTTCTATCCCACAAACGCAGGTGTTCCCCAAGGCTCCATCCTAGGCCCTACTCTGTTCCTTATCTTCATCAACGATCTTCCTGATGCCATTGATTTCCAAGTAGGCATCTATGCGGACGACACTACAATTTACTCTTGCCTCAAAAACAAATCTAGTGTCGCTGACAAAACTAACCTGGCCGTTCGTCTCAAAAAGGACCTCCAATTGGTTGTGAACTGGGGCAGGAATTGGCTGGTTAACTTTAATGCCTCAAAAACAAAACTGCTCTCTATTAATCACCACAGAGAACCATTCCTGCCCCCCATTAGAATGTCTGACGCTCAACTTCTCGAGAGCACCTCTCTGTGGCTGCTCAGTCTCATGTTGTCTACTGACCTGAGATGGAACAAATACATTGAGTCAATTGCTTCGTCCACCGCAAGGAAAGTTGGCTCCCTGTGCCGCACCAGGAAATTTTTCTCCCTGGAATTAATCCTTCAAATACAAATCAACCATTCACCCTTGCATGGAGTATTGCTGCCATATATGGTCTGGAGCCACTTCTGTTTGCCTCGGGGTTCTTGATAAGATACAGAGACGGATATGTAATATAATTGGCCCTGATCTGGCATCTTGTCTGCAGTCGCTCTCTCACAGATGTGCCATCACCTCTCTGTCTTTTTTACAAATACTTTCATGGTAATTGCTCCGATGAGCTGCTTTTGCTGGTTCCCAGACTTCACAAATTTAAGCGTCCTACAAGGTTGGCATCCTGCTCTCACCCTTTCACTGTTGAAACTGTTAAATGTAGCTACCTCTTCTACTCCAATAGCTTAATATCTCGCACCTCTCGCCTGTGGAACTCCCTTCCCTATTCCTGTTTCCCTGATAGCTATAATCTCGAACTATTCAAATGTAATGTCAATCGACATCTCCAGTTGCGTTGATCTATCCACTATCTTTCTCCCCATCCTTTTCTCTATCATTCCTATCTGCTCTTGCTCAAAATCCTCTATAACTCCTTGCATGCTAGTGGCTTCCCACTTTGCAAGGGGTGAAATGCTTAAAAAAAAAAAAAAAAAAACTACAGAAGCAACAAAAAGAATGAAATCTGTAGTTTGAACAACTCCTGAAATGATAATAAATCTTCTCAAAATTATGCAAGGTATTTATAAAAAAAAAAATCTTGTGTTTTTTTTTTGTTATCATTTTATTTATTTTTTAAGAAAATGCTAGTGTATATAATAACATGTTTTTGTTCTTTGTTTCTTTTAGAGAGGAACTACAGAATTGATGAAATTTCTTCGGTCCCGTATCCAAGAGCCACCCTCAAATAATGTCACCGAGTCCCCAGTGAGGAGTAAAAGCAAAATGGGTGCTGCAGCAGCTGCTGTCCCTGCTGTTGTGGAAGATATTAGTAGCATTCAGCCGCATGATGTCTGTCATTTCAAAACTTTAGCATACAGGTAAGTGAACCTTGCATCTTATAAAGTATATTATATCTTACCTGAAAAAAATTGGGACCTGATGCATTTTAGAATGATGGATTTTTTTTTTTTTTTTTTTTTTTTAATAGTAATATGTACATGCAGTATATTTTAGAACTAGCCATTAGTAAAGCCCAAATTTTTAAGAGGCCTAGTTTAGTACTGCTATAGTACAATATTTATGACTGGTGTCAATATTTATATTATGAATATTTACTCTGAGTGGGGTAAACAAAAACAAATACCTGTCCTGGGTATGACGATAAACTATGTCCAACAGCAAGGCCTCTAATCAGGAAGTTTTGAGGAGCATGGAACTACCTCTTAATTGCTGGTGTTCCCAGGTCCACCCCGACGGGGGGGTGGTAGCACCCATTAGGGTCCCAGCTATGGGTAAACAGTTAACCCCAAACTGGGGTCAAAATACTATGAAAGTGTAAAAATAGGTTTTAATACCAGAAATACTTTGTAAAAAATTATTACCAGCAATAAATTTTTGAAGAAAAATTATTACCAGAAATACATTTTTGAACAAAAAATATTACCAGCAATACATTTTTGAAAAAAAAAAAAAAATTACCAACAATAAAAGTTTTGTCAACATTAAATAACACATTGAGGTTGATATGCCACAAACCAAACCAAAAACAAATACATAATATTAGTTTTCTGTATAGAGATAAAGTGGTATCAAAGTAAGTGGATAAAGACAGGTTATGAAAGGATGCCTTGACATGATGTTAATTTTTATCAAGGCTAGCCTGATTGAACATTACTATTGAGTAGGGAGTTTAATCCTCACTGAGTGCCCCATACAAAATTCAACATTAACCCTTTAGCATTCAACACACTCAAACTTTCATTGTAAATATCAGCTTTGAAAGTTGCACTGTTTGTGTGATTTCCTGCATTATTTGCAATGTGATCATATATTATTTATAGGACAGGTTATGGTGAGTTGAAGATTGAGAGCCAATATTTAAGGGCAGTGTTTGGGCGTGTTGAATGCTAATAGAGGTTAATGTCATGAAATCAACTGATATAACATAACCAATAGACCATAAAATTACCTGTGTACTTTTTCTGCACATCCTTTTTCTCAATTCATGAAAGTTAAAATGCCAAATCCCAAAAGTCTGGGTTTTTTTTATGAGCTAAATTTGTCTTTTAAGAAAAGTGTTTTTTAGTCATCAGTAATATTTGGCAATTATTGTGAACAGTGGTTTGTTTCATTGATTAGAACTAGTTCATGACCTCGTAGTAATTCTATATTTTCTCATCTAAGTGACTAGAAAGAAAAGGAGAAAGAATATGAAGGCGTGTCTTCTTGCTGCTACCTTCACTCAACAAGAAAAAAGGAAAAGCAAAAATAAAAAGCATTAGAGACAAATAAACATCTCTGTCAAAGATAAATTAATTTACACTTATTGAATTTATAGTTGAAAGAGAAATAATAAATTATTTTAAAGTAATATAATAGTTCTTAGTAGACTCTTGAAAAATTTATCAGTGTTTTAAAATTTGAACAATTGAAGAAATTTTATTTGATTGTCAATTTCAAAAGTAAAAAGTCCTTTTGATCTCTAGTCAGCACTGGGTTAGTTCATACTGAAAAAATATACTTTACGCATCCTGTGTCAATGTGTATCTATGTGTGAACTATGTCTAAGTTGTTGCCAAAAGTAACAAGTTTAAAAATCAAATTTGACTCAAAGAAAATGTAAATGTGAAGGATGATAGAATAGGAAATGTACCTTTTAATGTGTCTTTAGATAAGACAAAAAATGTGTCTTGAAAAAAATAAGAAGAATGTTATTTTTAAAGTTTGCAGGCTAATAATGATCTGTATCTCTAGCTTTTGAAAAAAAAATGATTAAATATATTATCATTTTTTTTTTTTTTTTTTGTTTTTTTTTAATATCTGATTAGCATCCTTTTTCATCATTTTTAGTCATCTATTAAAAAAAAATCTTCCAAAAATAAAATATATTTTTCTGAAACTTTATTTGAGAAATATTAGCTGATTTAAAGTATAATTAATATGATTTGAAACAAACAATATTTACTTTAAGTTGAAAATAACATAGAAATGTATTTTTAGAACAAACAGTTGTGTTTTTAACATAATTGACAATGTGATGACATATTGATTGTTGTTCTACAGACTTTATCTGTAAAACATAATTTAAGTAAATAATATGAACACATTTTTTATGTAATTTTTAAGTACTTCGTAATCTTAAAAATGCTGGAAAATATTCTCCATAATCAAATTTTAGGAATGTTAACTTTAACTATACTATAGTAATCATCTTTTTTCTGATAATGTCATGTATGGTCAACCATATTTTTAAAAGTGTGCACATTACATAATATTTTATGTACATAAAAAAAAATTCTAAATTATTTTAAAAATCTTTGTGCAAAATGATTTGTATTAAGCTTTTCAATTTTTGATTAGTAAATATAGTTTGCACTAACAACATTAAACTAATATAGAATTTTAAAAAATTATAATAAATTATTATAATTAAAATGAAAACAATTCTTGTAAAAATTCATTATTCATTGAAAAATTTGTTTTCTTAAGACAATAGTACCCTTAATAAATTTTATTTATAAAAGCAATTAAAAGTTTTTCTAATTAAATAATGTCAGTTTTATTGGATTTTTTATGATTTGGAGCAGATTTTCAAGAAATGAGTAGCAATTAGAAAAAAATTGATGATTTACATTCTCCAAGGAGTCCTGCTTTTAACTAATAAAACAAATTCTGTGGTTAAAATTTAATTTCTCAAAATTTCATGAAATTAAGTAAGTAGGGGATGGGTAACATATGCAAAAGAAAAAAAATTACCAAAATTTTTCTAATAAAAATAAAAAATATTTCAGAAATAATTTCATTCATTTGTGAATATATCCTGAAAGTTTCATTAAAATCTGACAATTATTTGATTTTTGCAAGAATTTCCAAATCTGTGTTTTTCACCAGAAAAAAGGCTCTAAAACACTAATTCAAAACATAACACAAAAACCACTAACACAAAAAAAAACGATTTTTAAGCAAAATTTTGAACATGCTAGAAAGGATTAAAAAATTTAAATAAAAAATACTTTGGTCTTTCCTCTTAATAATAACAAACATTTTGACAATAAAACTTTATTAATTTTAGGCCTTTTTTATCATGCTATACTGTTTTTTGTTTTGTTTTTTTTGTTTTTTTCATTGAAAAAGTGGAGGTACCTTATTTGGCTTTTATTGCTTGACTTTATACTAAAAGTTCAATATGGCAACCCTGTTCCTTTACTTTTGTATTTCTGCCATAGATGGCCAGAACATGTACAAACATGTAAACTACTCTAGACATTTGGCCAGATATCATCAAATTCAAGAACTTAATTAAAAAAAAAAAACAAAAAAAAAAACAGAAAAATGTCCTTCTCTGTGGTGTTGTATAACATGAATGGTATTTTATTCCCAGTGAAAATGTAGATTTTTGTGTTTATTTCAAAAAACATTGAACCGTTTCTGATAAAATATCAGAGCGATAAACCATTGCTTCCTTTCCTTGCAGATGAACTTTTTAGCATGATCATGAATTTGTAAAGGAAGAGCACACTAAAAAGATAATTACATTTTCCAAAATGAATGAATTTGTAAGAATTTTGTCAAACCCAAACATGCATAAAGATGCTGCAAAGATTAAGTGTGGATTTCTGGCAGTAGGGTCTATGCAAAATTTATACAAAAAAGGAAATGTGTCAACAAAAAATCTGTTTGCATGCAGAATTGCAACAATATTCATCACCATCAAAGTCTCCCCTTAGATACCCTCTTGAATGGATCCAGTGTCCAGCCATGCAAGTGACTGAACACTGGATCCATTTGCGAAAATATCTGCCAAAGAAGACAGTATTAAAAGATGTCTTTCCCACATGATGAACAGAAAACAACCCAGCAAATCTCATTGTGATGACATCATCAGTCAGTACAAAGAGTTCAAGGAGGAGGCTGCTGGAAATATTGCTTTCAAGAATTTCAGCAAGCATGAAGACTGTCTGGACACTTTGTTCTACTCTTCTTTGTCTAGCAACAAAGAATATTAAAAAAAATGTGGAAAGTTATTTGCATATTGCTGGTGCTCTCTCATGGACAGGCCTCAGTGGAGAGAGGTGTCTCAGTCAATAAGGAAATTTCCACTGACAATATGAAACAGCAGACTGGTTGCACAGACTATTTAGTCACAGTTGAAGGTGCTGGGAATGTTCCTATGACTAAGGCTCTTCTCTGCAGTGCTTCCAATGCCAGAACAGCATACAACGAATACCTTGAAACTGAGAAGAAAAAAGGTAGGAAGAGGCAGCTGGAAAAAAACAGAAATCCATGCTTATGGAAATTGAAGAACTGAAGGCTAAAAAACACAAGCTTGAAAGCTGCACACAAGATTTGTTCAAGTCACCTGACAGCTATGCAGAGAAAGCTGAACAGACTCAGAACTTCACACTTATCTCAAAGTCCAATGCCATGTGAAGATCTGCAAAGGACAAGTCCATAGAGATATCAAAATTGGAAGAGGAGCTGAATGCTAGATGAACTGACAAAATGTTAACATCATTGTGTTCTGTGTAATGTACAATCTTTTTGTGAAAATTTCTATTTGTAGTTCTGTTCATTAAAACCATTATATTAAAGTTCATAGGAAATGTGCTGCAGTCAAGAATTTTTGTGACATTCACAAACCATGAGTAGTCTAGATAGCTGAAATGTGTAGCAGTAAGAATTAAAGTATGTAATTCAAAATTTTCCAGTCAAGTATAACTCCAAACTGTAGAATGTTACTCAAAATGTGTAACATAACCAGGTCTGCATTCAGTTGTGTTTTAGCCTTCAACACTTTGATTTCTTCACTGCTTTCAACTGATCCATGTGACATGAATTTATTAAAAGATAAATCACAAAGTTTGTGTTTTTGAAATTGATGACCATTCAGTGTGTGTGTGTGTGTGTGTGAGAGCATCAGTTTCGGTCCTTGAAACTTCTTAACATAGTCCTGGAATTTTTTTTTTTTACACAGGTCTGTGGGAACCCTTTTTTTTTTTTTTTTTTCATAATTGAAACTTCAAACATAAATAGGCTTAAACTAATATAAACACCTGTACATATGTCTATACCTATATATATATATATATATATATATATATATATATATATATATATATATATATAATCATTTCTTTGTCTAACCTACTTGATCAGCAATCAATCTAGATTTTTCATTTTTTGTTCTATGTAAAGTTTTCCTGTGTTTCATTATTTTTTAGTCATCATTGTCAAATTTTAACAATATATATCTTTGTTCCTTTTGCATTATATATTGTGGGGTTCTAACATCCTACTCTTTCCTAACAAACTGCACAGATACATCATGATCAAGCTTCTTGAGCAATGCTAACTTATGAATAATGTCAAGCATGGCTACTTCTGTTGTTCATTGTCACTCGCAAGCATTGAGACACAAGTGACTAAACAGAATTAATAATAGGTTGTATTGGATCAGATTTGAGAATCAAACAAACTTTGTTGGACAGATGAACTTAGAATTAATTTTCAGTTTTCAGAATTCCAGATATTGTGTAATGTAACTGTTAAACAAATCTCTTATAGCATTAGAGGCATTAATGTTTTATTTTTCAATTTTTTTTATTATTATTATTTCTATAGAAACGCCCAGAAAAAAAAAGATTCTAAGTTTTATTTAATAATGGTTCCAAGGCACAAAAATAGTGATGCTGTTAGATTAGCTGTAAAGTGCTTCTTTTAAGTAGATACATCCACTTTCTCACTAAAAAAACAGCATAGCATGATGAAAAATGGCTCCAAACTTAATAAAAACAAAGTTTTATCATTAAAATGTTTATGCTATTATCAAGAGGAAAAGCCAAACTATTTCTTAATTATTTTTTAGAATTTTTTTACTCCTTTTTAACACGTTTGAAATTTTGGTTAAATTTTTTTTTTTATGCATCAACAGTAACAAAGTTGACTATGGAAATTTTAGCCTTTTTTTTTTTCCAGCAAAATAACACATTGATTTGGAAATTCTTGCAAAAATAAAATAATTGTCAGAATTTAATGAAATTTTCAGGATTTATTCACAAATGAATGAATTTACTTTTGAAATTATTATTTTTTGAAAATCTTGGTGAAAATATTTTTTTTTTACTCCCCACTTACTTAATTTCATGAAATTGGGAAAAATTAAATTCCATTCTCCAAATTTGTTTTATTAGTTAAATACAGTACTCCTTGGAGAATATAAATCATCAATTTTTTTTTTTTTTTTCAAACAGTTACTCAGCTCCCGAAAATCTGCTCTGAATCATAAAATAAAAACTGCAATAAAACTATGACATTATTTAATTAGATAAACTTTTAATTGCTTTTATAGATAAATATATATTAAGGACATTATAGTCTGAAGAAAATATTTTTTTTTTTAAAATTTTTACAGGAATTGTTTTCCTTTTTTTTATTATTATTATAATTTATAAAGTTTCAAAAATCTTTAAAAAAAATCTCTTCAAAACTTCCTTTTTATTAGGTTATTAAGTGAAGACTATATTTACTAAGTGAAAATTGAAAAGCTTAACACAAATCATCATGTATCAAGATTTTTAAAATTATTTTTTTTTTTTTATGTATATAAATGTGACCATACACAACATTATCAGAAAATATGATCAGTCATGATAATAAATTTAGTCAACATTCCTAAAATTAGATGATGGAGAATATTTCCAACATTTTTAAGATTACTGAGTACTTAAAAAAAATTATAAAAAAGTGTTCACCCTTCATGTTTTAACAGATAAAGTCTCCATAGAAAAACAATAAATCTGTCAACACCTTCAGAAGCAATTGTCAAGTGATTTACAAGCCTTGACAAGCATTTAATCACTGTTACTGTTTGTTTTAAAAATACATTTCTCTGTTATTTTCAACTTCAAGTAAATATTTTTTCTAATCAGATTAGTTATACTTTAAATCAGCTAATATTCCCCAAATAAAGTTTCAGAAAAATATTTCATTTTTAGAAAATTTTTTTAATACAGAGAATTACATTGTCATGAAAGACAAGTAAAAACGGACATTAATCAGCTATTTTAGAAAAAAAATTGAAAAAAAAATATATAATTTCTGTTTGAAATACACCAGAGTATTTTGCTTGCTGGAAATAATAAATTTGATCCTTTAGCTTTAAATTAAAACTAAAATGAAAGCCTCAAGAAAGCTTTTACATTTATAAAAATTCATTTTTAACCTGAGGTATCGAAAATTAGTGGAGGTACCTACTTTTAAGTGAAAAAGTTCTCGAGAAAAACGTTCATTTTATTGTTATAATTGTACTATTTCATTATTTCTTATTGTGTGTAATTTACAAATTAAAGTTTATCATAGTTATGTATGGAGAAAAGGAAAAAGAAAACCAATGTATATAGTTCATTATTATCCAATTACAATCCTTCACTTAGAGGGCTTAGAAGATGTTTTCCGCGGATAAGGGGAGATTACTCGTACTCTTGCTTTTATTCAATCAGCAATACAATTGTACTTCTTTCTTTTTATAACTCATGAAAAAATTACTTTTAAATTATGAATAATATCTATTTATTTGCCTTGATTTGCAAATAAAATTAAAATTATTAATATTGTTCTTACATTCACGTAGAAACATTAATTTTTTTTTTCTCATCTTTAGCAACAAACAGACTTCTGCCATTTTACCAGATCATGTCTGGGAATTTGCTGTCAATAATGGTGTGAATACTGTGAATCTTGGGAAAAACTGCTACACAACATTACCTTCACCGTGAGTTTTTATATTTTTATTTTGTCATATCATTGTGACAAAGCTATTATTTCTACTAATTACTCTATTAAAATATATTTCAGAATTAAATTTTCGGCTGTTTTATGAGGAAGCTTTAAAAAAATCCTTGCATTACAAAAACACATTGTTGCTCTGAATATATACCTATCAGCTTATCAATGCACATTCCTATATAAAAATTTCAAAGCTAGCACTAATCTGATGAAATTAAAATAAACTTCTTCAAATTAATGATGGCTTTGCAATAGAAATCTAGTTTATATTTAATTTTAATCTCTATTCCATCAAATTTTGTAAATAGAGGAAATAAATAAATATGATAGTGAATGTATTTTTGTACAATGAAAATTGCAGATTCTTTATTTAAAAAATACCTAATGTTGCATATTTGTCATTGTTCAATTCAGACATGTCACTGAAAAGCATGCTTGCCAACATATGAATTTTATTTGCAAGTTCTGTCTAGAAAGCATTCAACCATTTAATACTAACAAGGAAAAATAAATGGAAAAAAGGAGCTTACCTAAAACAATAGTACATTAATTCCCTTTCAAATACTACACTTGGGACCCCACACACTTATCCCCAAAACTCTTACATTTTTCAAAGCAATGTCATCTTTCGTTCATAGCATTTCAATGGCAATTTTTTTTAATTATTTAATCATGCCTGTAAATGTATGTGCAGTCAAGTCCTCTTTGATTGGCTCTCAAATAATATCAAGATCATATAACTGGTTCATAAGATATACAAAATATTTGGTTATGTTCTAGATAGACCTTTGTGTGTATTTATACATACATAAAAAAAAAAATAAATGAATGCTCATCTACTAGAGTGGCTAGCCAATCCCTGTTGAAACTCCTGCTCAGGCATATTTGTGTTCAACATCCACAGATCCCACTTGTGGTTTGTACTGCATCTATACTGAGCAGACCTTAGGTACAGTTTCTGGGAGAGAGCTTGTTGTCTAGTGTGATCAACAGTCTGAACAAGGCCATCACGCTCAAACCCTCAACCACAGTGACTTGTGAGATTGTGCTAGCACAATCATCAACGACTCCCCAAAGAGTTCTGTCTACACAGTTTCACTCACAAGGCTTGGTCAACCCATGGTATAGGTTTTCAGACAATTTCCAAAGGTACCATATGCTGGGATCACTTCCCCCAAACTGATAACAGCTTCCTGACAAATCAACCATGATGAGATTCGAACCTGAGTCTCATGGTACAAAAGCGAATGTTCTAACCACTTGGCCATGCACACATGCTGATGGAAAATAAAATTGCAACACCCTGACTATATGTTGTAATTTACTCAAGATTAAATGTACAGATAACGTATATGGATTACAGTAAATCATCATATATACAAATCATTACAGACACATTCCAAAATAAGGAACCTGGTCTACAAGTGAAAGAATGTTCATCTGACCACTATGGCCAAAACTGAAATACTACTGGCGCATCACATCCTACATGTGCGGTAGTTCTCTAAAAATGACCATCAAACTTCTTAAAAGTTATAATCTGTTTCATTTCAAACATGTATACATCTCTATTTGATGACAACTGTTTATGCACATCTCTTTTATCATTGTCTGATACTCAAGTTTAAATGATGTAATGCCATAAGAATTATTATGTGACAAGATGACTGAAAATTTTATATCTACTACAAACTTGCATGCACATATTGTAACACAGATGTGTGTGTGTGTGTGTGTATATGTATATATGAGTCATTCCGTGTCAAATCAACAAGGGTCTGACAATCACCAACACAATTTTTTTTTCAAATCTGATACACTTATAGAGCTTCATGATAGAAATTAAATTGTGGCTTTTTTAAATCTCCAGGTCAAAGGGTTCTCGGGTTATGAGCCTTTGACCTGTACCAAAAAGGGGAATTTGGGAAAATAGTCACGACATTTAAATATCAATATTTTGGTTGTTTTTTCACTTACAAAGCTAAATTATATACCATTTTAAAATACTTTCATAGATCTAAAAGATGATCTATTTTTATTTTTTTTTTGTTTAAAGGTCAAATAAAATTTGTTCTTGTCCTTTGACCTTTAATTTCTCAAAAAATGTATCTTTAATTTTTTTATTTCACAACAAATTTTTCTGCTTTATGGCAAGATATGTACAAAATTTTCTGATTTTCTGAGTTACAAGGGTTTTATTGAGTTGGGCCAAATTCAAAATGGTGGAGTTTGGCATTTGCTAACATTTTCATATCTCCCAATATGGTCAAGTTGTATATTAGAAAGCTTTTTGAATGCTGATTAATATTCACATAAGAACTATGATCATAAAATCAACAGAATTTGTGTTATTTGTGGTTAAATGTTGACCAATTTGTTAGAAAATAAACAACCAAATTTTTGATTTTGTTTACATTTTTATTATACAACAAATAGATTTTTATAAAACAATTATTTAAAAAGTGTCATGAATTAATGTTAAGATAACATAAAACAATATGAAAATATGCAACAAATCATGTTAATGGCTAACAGATTTTTGTTGACATGGTACAAAACATGCACAAAACAATCAAATTTTCAGTATTTTTATAAATATTTAAAGTATTTAGTTTTGATCTGAAAAAGTGAAACATTAAAAAAGTGAACATTTTAAAAAAAAGATTCCTAACATTTACAGATATTAACAGACTTAATTTCCTTGTTCATATACCTGTTTAAATAGAAAAGAAAAATTTGGATATGCAAACCACTTTTTCACTCAAATTTTTTGTGATGACCAACCTTGATTGTATCTTTTATTTCAGGTTATTTCAAGAAATTCTCTTTTCTAAAATATTTGAAGCTTTTTTCATCTCAATTTTCGAAAGTTCATAAGTTCTTCCAGTGTCAGTTACTGGATGAACTAAACTAAGAATATCAGAATAATTTAAAATAAATATACCTGGATGTAATGGTTAACACAAAAATGGAAAAGGGCACTTCGACTGTAAAAATGTCAATTTTTACCTTTTCATTATCAGGATATTTTTTAAACACACATCCTAACCTCCAATTCCTATCATAGATTGCTGTAACAAATCCGTTAATGTTTTCAAGCTCTATATAGTACCATTTTATAATTTTAATTTTCTTTCATCCTGAGTTGACACTGTTTTTACTTTTACCTCTTCCTCAGGAATAAAACTATGTAATGTTTGAGTTCCTGCAATTGTTGAGGCATTTTTTAATCTATTTTTAGAGATTTCTGCTTCATTTGTCAAGGAATACAAAATATTTATGCCTGAACTTTTTTTTTTTTTTTTGCTTAATCAAACAAGTGTCACTATTTGTTTATTATATGGTTGCTGCAGGCTTGATTTTGTTGCTAATCTCTTAATAGTACCACCTAACCAATCACATGGTCTTTTCCTATGAGATGTAGCAAAAAAGTGTCACTCTGCATCAATACTAAAGTCAGCACAAATTGATAAAATTTTTTTATAATGTGATGTGGAACCATCAGAGAAATAGAACAGAATTTTTTATTTTAAAATTAAATTTTTTTTCAGTATTTCTATAAGTTTTCTTTGGAACAAATCAACAGCTACTGTGTCATGCTTGAAACAATCTGATATAATTACAACATTAATATGCTCCAGCTCTTTGTCTTTCTGTAATAATAGACAACTGAATGTAATGTAACTTGAGAATTATTCCAGTAGAAGCCTTGTTCTGCATCCTGCAAAGTAAATGAATAATTCTCAGCAAAATCTGCTATAACTATGACTTCACCTTTCATCAAAGAACTTTTCTTATTAGAACAAAATTTTCATTGTTCTTTGGCAATGAAATCATGGTTTTGAAGGCCTATGCAAAAAGTTTCAATAAATTCTTCTTTAGATTATGATACAGTCTTCAATGTGATTCTATCAGTTGATAGCCACAGTTTGAAGATAAAATTATCTATTAAATTTTTATTTAGAATTTCTTCTCTCAATGAAACGAAATCCTCCATCAAATTGCTACAAGTTGAGAAGTCACCCAAGTAGCAGTTAGATGTTTCTTAATTACATATAACAGCAGCTATGCATTGGTAGTAATCTATGAAATGATATTGTTCATCTTGAGTTACTGTACCAAGATGAGCCTCCACAATCATCATACATATTTTGATGTAGTGTACAAAGTGTGTTCTGGCACTACCTTCTAAGATACATTCCTTTGGTCTGAGCTCAGCAAATTTTGAAAAACTTATTCTGTTTGGATTCTTTGATTTAAATAATTGGTATGCCTCTTTCAGGTTACAGAGTACAAGATACTTTTGTTCCTAAACTCTTCTATCATTCTTTAAGACTGTCTTATAGTCATTTTTCCAGGCATCACTCTGTTAAATTCTTCACTTTTATAAAATGGCACAACTTTGTCAATTGTCTCTTGTGTGAATCTACATTTTTGTATATTTGGCAGAGATAATATTCCTTGTTAATTTACAAGTATTTTAGCTTGTCTTCCGATATATGTTGTCATGCCAAATTCCATTTGAATTCTTTGGATACTTCAGCTTTTTGGAAGTATTGTCAAAATTTGTATGTTTTGGGACCTCTTTTCACAAGCTGAAAATTTTCCTTTTAGTTGTGTAATAATTTCACTTTCATGAGAAATTTTAGTTCATAATTTAATTTTTGATACTGCTCCTTTAATTTTTCCTACATTTTATTCCTCATAACTGGTTTGTTTTTAAAGTTTTTGACATTTGATTGGTAATTCACCAAGAAGTTGCAATTCATTTTCAGTATCTACAAAAATGCTAGAAGGCTGTGGCTGGTCTTCAGCTGATGTTGAAGTACTTTCAGAAAACTCAGGTAATCCTGTTAATTTTATTTGACAACGGGTTTGCTTATTAATCTTTGTAAATGTTAAAAATCTTCATTTAAATATTCATTTCAATGTATCACTTTTTCAGATCAAAGCTTAATTTTTTAACTACATGTTAGCCATTAACATGATTTGTTGCATATTTTTATATTATTTTCTGTTATCTTAACATTAATTCATGACACTTTTTTAAATAATTATTTTCATTGTCATTTTTTCATATAAAAATCTATTTGTTGTGTAATAAAAATTTAAACAAAACCAAAAATAAGGTTGTTTATTTTCCACCAAATTGATCAACATTTAACCACAAATAACACAATTTCTGTTGATTTTATGATCATAGTTCTTATAGGAATATTAATCAGCATTCAAAGAGCTTTCTAAAGATATACAACTTGACTATATTGGGAGATATGAAAATATTAACATATAGTGGAAAATACCAAAATCTGCCATTTTGAATTTGGCCCAACTCAGTAAAACCCTTGTAAATCAAAAGTCCATTAAAGTTTTTGTATATATCTTACCATAAAGCTGACAAATTTGTTGTCAAATTTTTTAAAAAATTAAAGATACATTTTTTGAGAAATTAAAGGTCAATATTTAAGGATACAATCAAATTATCTTATTTGACCTTTAAATGAAAAAATAAATAGAACGCCTTTTAGATCTATCCAAGTACTTTAAAATGGTATATAATTTAGATTTGTAGGTAAAAAAACAACTAAGATATTGCTATTTAAACTTTGACTATTTTCCAAAATTCCCCTTTTTGGCAAAGGGCAAAGGCTCTATCTTGGGTACCCTTTGACCTAGAGATATAAAATAGGTACAATTCAATTTCTATCATGAGGCTCTATAAGTGTACCAAATTTGGAAAAAAAATCTGTGTTGGTGATGATCAAACTCGTGCTAATTTGACAAGGACTGACTTGTACATATAAGAAAGATTGTCTCTGTATACTTAGGGCTTTTTCTTGGACAAACAATATGACTTTTCTTTCTGATGTACTGACAATTATTACAGAAAGAGTCTATCATGCTCTAGATAAAAATGCTGAAGCCCAGGCTGTAGCTTTGGACATCTCGAGAGCCTTTAACAAAATTTGGCATACAGGTTTTCTCCACAAGCTGAAAAGTTATGGTGTCTCTAGACACATCTTTGAACAGATCCAGTCTTTCCTATCAAATTGCGAAATTAAAGTTATCCTGAGTGGCCACTCATCTACATCCTTTCATACTAACATGGATGAACCCCAGGGCTCTATCCTTGGTCCCACTCTGTTTTTAATTTAGATTAATGACCTTCCCGATGACATCAGCTCTGAATTTGACATCTAGACAGACTACACAACCATTTACTCCTGTCTCAATTGTAAGGCTGATCAGTCTGACAAGGTCAAAATAGCAGTCAATGTCCAAAACAAAGTCCAGTCCATTGTTAACTAGGGCAAAAGATGGCTTTTAATTTTAATACCTCCAAAGCTAAACTTCTCTCCATTAATCATCTGACAGACCCCTCTCTGCCTTCCATCAGCATGGCTGATGGTAATCTCCAGGAAAGTGACTCATTGCACCTTCTCAAGCTAACGTTCTCAGCTGACATGAAGTGGAAACACTATATTAAATCCATTGTTGAGTCTGCTGCCAAGAAAGTTGGTTCACTCTGTTGTACGAGAATTTTTCACTTCAGAATCCATCTTACATATCTATAAGATTAGGGCACCCCGACGTGGTGTAATTGTTAGCAAGCTTGTCTTGCTAGATCAGTTACTACTGAAAAGTGAGTTTGATCCTCACTGGATGCCCCATACTTTTGGCCTTGTTCTACATCTAAGCTACACTTGGAAAATCTCTATATATCTATAAGATTACCATTCCTCCATGCTTAGAATATTGCTGACACATATGGTTAGGTACCCCTGCTATTTACCTAGAGCTCTGTGATAGCCAAAGAAGAATCAGCAATATTATTAGTCCTTATCTGGCAGCTTAGCTTCAGTCACTTACCTACTGCTGTAAAGTTGCCTCTCTCTGCCTTTTCTATAAATACTTTGATGATAATTATTTGGATGAGCTCTTCACTATGGTACCTAGATTTCATAAATTTAAGTGCAGTACTAGACTGGCATCATGATCTCATCAATTTACAGTTAAGCTGGCTAGAGGTAGCCATAAGTTCTATGCTAACAGTTTCTTTACTTGCACTTCTAACTTGTGAAACTCCCTTCTGGCTCTATGCTTTCCAGCCAACATTCATTTACAAAAATTTAACTGCAATGTCACTTTCTATCTACTGTCCTCCTGATTACTCTTTCCACTCATTATTAATGTTTCTGTTCCTAATTCTATCACAACTTTTTTACTTTCACTTGTGTTTTAGTGGCTTTTACTGCTTTGCTTGGGGTGATACTGATTTAAAAAAAAAAAATCAGATGTAGTATGCTGATGAAAGAAATTCTAGAGATGAAAAAACAACAAAAATAATAATATAGATACTGAGACTAATATTTATTGTAGATTAGGCCTTTTGACCACATAAAATGATGAAAAAAGATGTTAAAAATCTGAATTTTAAAACCTGCCTGTGTCCTTTTGCAACGAGAAATGAAGTTGGACTGGTACACGGGGGTGCATGTGTTATATTACTGAGGGAATCTAGTAGTTTGGGGTTAATTGTTAGCCACAATGAGGTTGTAGGTTTAAAGCTGGCTTTTTGTGGGAACTGTAATCATAAAGTATGCCTAAATTTCTATTTAAATCTGGAATGTGTGAATTTATTTAAAAAAATTTTTTTTCTTTTCACAGAATGCTAAAGCTGGCTGAGTCACTTACTGAAATCCACATGGGATTTAACAAATTAACAACTCTTCCTCCTGAAATTGGCAAATACACCAAACTTCTTTACCTGGACATACGGTAAGAAATAATGTAGAATGTATTTTTCAGGAATTTATAGAAATTTTTATTAAAATTTTTCATAAATATTGGCTTATGGCCACATCACATTAAAATACTGGTTCCTATATGATCACCAAAATTAAGCAACATTGAGCCTGGTCAGTACCTAGATGGGTGACTGTTTGGGAATACCAGGTGCTGTAAGCTTGGATGTGCAAGTGATATAACGGATAGCAGCTCGGAATTGTTAATTGAAGTGCCAAGTTCCCATTTCTGTTGGATTCATTATATTCAATTATGCACAAATATATTTGGGAAAGGTGTGAATCCATATTTTCTCCTCCCCAGCTATGGGTTAATTAGTAAGACTCGTATCACTATACCATTATGTCAAAAAAAAAAAATTTTACAATCTAAAAATATTTTCTGGCTTTAAATAATCTACAATGGGTTGATAAGCCATCGAAAGCAAATCAGTCAAATCAAATTCATAAATATTACATTATTTATAGCATTTAGATTTTACTTTGGTCAAGGTTTGTTTGAATACAGGGTGTTTACTTAAACATGGGTATGAAAATATACATTTGGAATATTAGGAAACGTATATGGTATACAATTTGAACTCTTCATCTGACTCATAGGGTTTTAAGCTTAAGAAATAAAATAAGAAAAAGAATGGAAGATTGTAAAACAAAATTAATTCATCCATTTTATTTGATTTTATGATGTTTATTTAATTTTGCATTAATTTTTTTTCCAGAAATAACTGCTTGTCAGACCTCCCTGAAGAATTGTCTAAAATTGTTAATTTGAGGGAAATAAATCTTTCACATAATCAGTAAGTAATTATTTTCACTATTATTAAGATAAATCCCTAGTATCTTTAATTTATTATGGGAATTTTATAAGAATATTGAAACTTTTCTATTTGGTATATACTATATGCAAATATTTTTTTAACCCCTTCTTTCTGTATTTGTTCTTAATACAACATTTAAGCTGATCCATTCTTTAGCTCTTATTAAGGGTATTCTGTGAAGTGAGGTGGGGGGACATTGGCTACGGGGATGAGGTCAATCAAAGAATGATAGAAAATGCTGTTGGGAAATCTTCCAGATATAACTTGAGTCCTTGGTGTTCATTATGAGTTGAAATATACCAATTCATATATTAATAACTATTTTTTTGTCACCATTTTTTTTTCCTCTTGCAGTAAACCTAAAAATGACAAAGACTGGATCAGCTTGTTGGTTATCCCACTTAACTTTGCTAAAAAAAAAAAAAAAAAACATAGCTAGAGGCTGCTCTTTAAGCCTATAAAAAAAGCATGCATTTTTCTTCGCAGCCTCTTTTCACTGATTTTTAGCTTTGGCTTTCAGGAGTAGTTGCAAGTTGGTAAAAAACACATTCATTTTAATGTTTTTCTCTCTTGACTTTTGTACTCTCTCATACATGCTTGTTGCATGCACACACACACACATACACAAGCACATTCGTATTATAGCTAGTTACATTTTTTTTTCCTTTTCATCACATGTAACTCCTTTGTTAATACATGCATTGTTGTTTGTGTTGCTCATTTTTTACTTGGACTCACATTGAATTAGCCAATATTGTTTGTAGGATAAAGTTTTCCAGGAGTCTGCAAATATTTAGGCTCCAAAGTGTTGATTCCTGCAACAAAATGGTGACTAAATATTTACCCTAGCATCCCACAACAAGCTGAAAGATTGTTAACCTCATCATGAATACAAAGAAAGGATTCAGTTATCAGAATAATATTTGGAAGATTAAAGATTCTTCTAGAATATAATATTGTTTATGCTATACTCTGTTGCAATTAGATCTCTTTCTAATTCATTCTGCGCGCTAGCCAGATGTGAACGCCATGAAGGCAAAGAACGAAATAACAAAAGTTATTTTCTGCGCATTAGGCTTCATGCATCACATCCTGCCTACGAAGCAAGCTCTAGAAGTGGCCAATCGTGAACGTTCCTGCCGGGGAGAGAGAGATGGTCTGGGGACTACCAGACCCACTTAAATCTGGTCTCTAAGAACAACACCAGCAGTCACAGCTCTGCAAGGCTACTGGCCATCACACAGGGCACAGCTGCTGCTGCTGCTGCTACACCTGCCACCATGACATCTAGACAACAGGGTTGTGGCCCAGCATTCGTTACACAGGGTGCTGCTGCTGTCACTGCCATCATGACCATCACTGCCACCTCTCAATATGACTGCACGTCTCAATGATTGTTACCACTCCCAGACTTGACTAACCACCTCAAATTTTCAGTTTTACGTTGATAACATCTTGATCTTGTCACCTTGGCCAACACCAGCCACAAGTGGCCAAATATCCAGCATTGACACCACCCAGCTACAAGCCTTCATTGTCGATGATGCTGTCACCTCAGCAAATACTGATATGGTAATATCACAACTTTGACTCCACCCAGCTACACGCCTTCATCGTCGACAACGCTGTCACTCCAGTAAATACATACATGATAACATCTTAACTTCGAAACCATGTCACCTCAGCAATACTGTCTTGATAACATCTCCACATTGGCAACACCAAGCTACTAGCCTTCCTTGTCACCAACACTGTCGTCTCAACTCCACAAGGAAACGACCCTGATTCTGCAAGCATGTAACCCACTTGACCCACCAACGTCGTGCACCCAACATATCTGTGACCTAGGCCAGGCCAACACAAGAAATAGGCCAACTCCCAGCGCTATGCTTACACTCATCACTATCTTGATGATCGCCCACTGAAACTGACATTTCACCTAGCTTCATATCTGTATGATGTACTACCCTCCACCATGACCTCTCTCAACCAACACGGGCACCAACCATACCCTGCGACCTCACACCAAACCCACACAAGAATTAGGTCAAAACCCAGCACTATCCTTACACCTGACCAGCATCCTGACGATTAGCCACTGAAACACACATTCCACCCATGCTTCAATATCTCTGTATGACATGCTAACAATAAACGTTGTTCAAATCTAATACTCATTATTCCTTTCTCTCACTACCAAACACTTAATATAACATTTATGATTTTGCATATTTTTATAATTAATGAATAATTAATTTTCTTATGTTCAATATTATTGCTAGTTAATGTTTAAATATTTCTACAAAAAAAACAAATAGGTTATATCGGTAAAGTTATGCATTTCTTTTGTAGTTCAAATAATTTATGTATCATAGAAACTATCATATTTATCCTAATAATTCAAATTTTCCTCTTTGGTTGTAGGTTTCCTGTGATCCCTTCTGTTGTCTATGAGCTGCAAAAACTGGAGATCCTTTTTGTGAATGGCAATAGAATTGAGGAAGTTGATGTTGAACGTTTGCAACATATGCCTTTGTTGTCGACCCTCAACTTGCAAAACAACAACATTGTTCATGTGCCTCCAGAATTGGCTCTTATACCCAAGTTGGCGTGAGTATATTTTAACTTATTTTCTCAAGTTTCTATAATAGTAAACATCTATGATTGATTATTTATCTTAAAAAGTTTGACTTAATTCTGTAGTCAATAATAAAGCTTGAAAACATTCAAATCTTTATAAGACTAATTTGTGTACAAATGCAATTGCTCTACTGGAAATTGTATCTCTGAAGATAATAATAAAAAAACATCTTAAGACCTACAACTACAACCTTTTCTTGTAGATTCACTTGTCATATATCCAGCTGAAGTGCAACACAAAAATTACAATGATTTAAGATAGGTCTTTGTTGAGGATGCAAGAATAGTTAATAGTACAAACAGAAAAATATTACAACTTTTAGAAGCTGTTCATATTAAATTAAAACAATAACCAATAAAATCACTTATGATTTAAGAACACATAATATATAATGTATTTAATCCATTATTAGAATAATGAGCCTTAATAGATTATAGAAACGTATAATTAATACCAGAATTTATTTAGAAACCTGTTATTAATACTGAATTTTTATTAGTATAGTGGGCAATTAATGAGCTAAATCTTTAGAAAGCATATGACTCCACATTCACAAACATTTTAATTCAAAATAGTATGCGCGTATGACATTGAATACATTTGAAAGCTTAAAAACAACTAAAGTATTCTATTTAAAATTTGCAGTATAAAGTTATCAGAGAATTCTAATAAAATGGATTTTGATTCTTGATAAGGACTTAAGTCACTTGAAAGCTTAAATAGACATGATATCAACTATGGACAGTTCCTTTATAATTTCAATTCTAAAAGGAAATTAATCAATGTCTTCTAAGCCTTTCTGTGATGTCAAACTGTTAGGACCTACCTCATGTTTAGATGCTTTAACAATGATTGTACTTAGTAAAAATTGCATTCAATTGTTGTTTCATTATCAAGTTTAGTTTATGGGAGTAGAAATCTTATTGTTATTGTCCTTTTTATTTTGAAAAATATCTCAACAATGTATATGATTTTCTTTTCATTATTAATGATCTCCTTGATATGTTTGACTAATTCCTATTTAATGTTATGTATGGGGAAAGTATATAAAATCCAGTGTCTGTTGTTTTAAAGCACAAAAATGTTCAAACAGAGATTGACAAAGTTGCTGCTTGCAGAGAAAATAGAAGACAAAATAAATGATGATACATTTCAAGAAAATGAACATTAGCAACAGTTGTGGAAATTGTTTGCTAGTTTGTGCATTTTTTCTTTCTTAAAGTTTCTTACCAGAATGGGAAATTTTGACAAATGTTGTTACAAAGCTAAAAGTTTATTTTTGAAAAATCACTTGGATTTATCCCAACATTTATAATGTGTAAGCCAGAAAAAAAAAAAAAATATATATATATATATATATATATATATATATACACACACACACACACACACCATTTGAAACTTCAATAAAAAACATTCAATTTTATTTTTATATATCTATGGGTGAACAGACTTGAGTGGATGCACTGGTCTGCTCTTGTGTTCACCAGAAGACCAGCCAGCTGAGTATCTTCTGTACCATTGCTCAGCACTGTGTTTTCTGGCTTGGCTATGTCCTGCGATGACTAGTTGACCACCTGAAAAGAGTCATCTATTAGTTCAACCCACCATCTGCAATGCGGATATGGCCTGATGCCAGACCACAATCGCTGAAAGGATGTCATCTGCCAGGATCTCAATCTGGTGCTGGTGGATTTTCTGATGCTCTTCCAAGACCATGTGAGCTGGAGGGACAAGATGGCTCTTGTGGGCTCAATGCCTTCATGGCATGAGATTTAGTAGAAATAGCAAGCCAAATCATTAAATCATCATCATCATATGAGTGGCAATATTATAGTTATTTAATATTATATTATTATTGTATGTTTATGTCTGATGTTTGTCCAAGTTTCTCCAGTCTATTCTGTATTACAGGTATTTTTGTTGTTATTAAGGAAATTGCTGTTATATATATATATATATATATATTGTCATCCACAGACAGACTGTTTTGCTGTATCACAGCTCATCAGTGTAGCTAGACATCCGGTTGCCTCTAACTTCTGGTTTATCTTGAAAGTTTAGACACATTGTTTTTATAATAATCTTTAACACATCTTTATATAACATACACCTCCCATTTATAGCATGCAACTAGATATTAATTGCAATGAATTCCTTAAAAATAAATATGAAAATCAATTTTTGCTTTGATGTGAAAAAGAGTTTTACAGTAAGAAAATCTCTCAAAATTGCATTAATATATATCAAAAGTATTTTCATTTTTGAGAGCTTCTGTGTATTTGTTTTCTAAGCTTATGTAATGTCTTAATGTGCTCGTAGTGTAATGGCTAACTGAATGAGAAATCGGAGAGCCAAGTTCAAATTCCAATTAGGTTTGTTACATTCACTTACATGCAAATACCCTTGGGATAGGTATGAATCTACCACTTCTCCCCACCAGCTATGGGTTAAATAATAGGACACTGGATTCTATAGATTTGGTTGGTAACCAGGCTACTGCAAAAAGAAACAGCAGCCTTCTTCCTGGTCAGTCATGAATCAAAAGAGACCTGATCACCCAAGTGTGTATCATGTATAGCATTTAACTGACTGAATGTTCTGACATCTTTCATTAATTCGATTTCTTAAAGTTTTTCAGAGCACTCTTCTATCTTGTTTTTTTAAAGCATCAGAACTGATGATCATCCATTTCTGGGATTTATTCTACACATTCATTTTTAAGTTCAATACATTTGGCAGATTATTTTCCAGGTTTCTTTAAGCCTTCCACCTAAAATTCTAATGTTCAGTCATTGAAATACTGATTTCAGGAAGTTGGTCAGATTGAGAACAAAAAAAATACTCCTTTGTATAATGGAGTTGAGATAGACTTCAGATTTGTGCATGAAATAAACTTTTGGAGTAAAAGTCTGTAAAAATGAAAATAATTTTGATACACACTGATATGTTATGTGTTATCATAAACCTTTTTTTCAGAGAGAAAAGATGTCAAAGTTTTTAAAAAGAAAAATTCCTTATGAACCAAATAACAGATACAAGTACTTTACTGCGTTGCTTTCAATAAATTTCAGTAAGAAAAGTCCAAAGTTCATGGATTCAAGTATTTATATTGGTTAAAGTTTTAATTACATTAAAAAAAAATTATTACTATATTTTATTTTGATAAAAATGAATGAAAAAATTCACTTTTATTCCCATTTTTGAATTCTGTAAATGAAAATTGTATCTTAATCTGATTAATATTTATAGGAATTCTAAATCTGGCTGACATTTTAATTTTTAAAATTGTTATGAAAAATGAAATATATTTTTAATTCTATGCAAAATTCACAGAATTATTTTAAGAAAGTTCTAATGGAATTTTTATTACTAATATTTTTCTACAAAATCATTTTAATAAGTATTTTTCTGGTATTTTTATTTAATATAAAATACTTTTCATCTTTTAAAAAAATAAATACTAATTTTTATCATTTCAAACCAAAAATGTTTCTCTTTTACAGTTGTTTGCAATTGGAAGGGAATCCTTTCCGAACACCTCGGCCTGCAATTATAGCAAAAGGAAGCTCAGCTGTTATTGATTATCTCCGGGATCGCATTGTCAAATAACAAGGAGAAAAGACTGTGATAAATTTCAGTTATTTGTATTCATCTTTTATTTTATTAAAATAATTTGTCTTATTAAGAATTGGATACATCTTTTTTATTTCAATTAATACTTCTTAAGTATTTTACGTGGTTTTAATGTTTTCATCAGTAATTTTCAACAATACTTTGCTTTGTACAATAGTACATATGTGAATTTTTTCTTTGCCTTTCTTTTCTTCTTAAATGTACAAATATTTTTTAAATTCTTTAATTGAAGAACTGAAATTCAATTTGTTTGTTTGTTTCTTGAGTTTTTTCTCTCCATAAAGCAATGCTTTTATAAAAATTGAAAAATATGTAATCATTCCATGTTGACAATTGAAATTTAAAAAATGTTTTGTGAATACCTAGAATTTAAATTTTTTTTACTTAAGGAAAAACTAAAAAACTTCCATTCATTCATTAAAAGATGGAAAATTAGACCCTTCATTTAAAACTTTAAAAAATTCACTCTGAATGTATTTTAAAAGATAGACAGTATGTTTTCAATGTTTGTGCATATGTGTGTTTATATGTCATTTATATTGTGTATTTTTCCCTACCTCTAAACAATTAACTTTTTCTTAGTCTGTGAACATATGCTCTGAAAATAAAGTAAAAGCTATTTGAAATACTTTTAATTAGGTACCTCCACTAATAAGGTTTAAAGTGAATTTTTAAAAAATGAAAAAAGCTTTCATAAATCTTTCATTTTAGCTTTAATTGAAAGCTAAAGGATTTAAAATTTACTATTTCCAGGAAGCAAAATACTCTGTGATATATTTCAAACAGAAATTATATTGATTGGAACTATTTTTTTTTTTTTCTGTAAAATCAAAAAAAAATGGCCATTTTAACACATTTGTAGACAAAAGTTAATTCTCGGTTTTAAAAATCTTGCAAAAATAAATATATATTTCTGAAACATTATTTGAGGAAAATTAGCAAATTTAAAGTTAAATTAATCTGATTTGAATCAAATATTACTTACTTATAGCATAAAATGTACACAAGTATTTCTTAACAATGGGGTTTTGCTTTTTCTGACATGCTAATTGATTTATTGACAGCTGAAAGATAAAGTTTGAGGAGTTTTTTTCCATTGTAAAGGGGGACAACCCTTCAAACACGTGACTTTTTAATGATAATGTTTATAAGTTTGAACATCCATACTTAGAAATTCTGCACGTATATCACATACAAAAACAAATAGAAATTCTTTTAAAAATATTCAGAATCATCAGATTGTGATAAGCTTTACAATATATCATTAGTAAATATAGTTTTACTTAACAATATTTCCTAAGAGTTATCACATTGAAACTGAATTTTAAAAGATTTAAAAACTTTCTAAATCATTCAATTTAAAATTATAAAAATGAAAACAAATTTTGTAAAAATTCATTTTTCAATGAAAATTTTTAATATATATCATTCATAAAAGCAATTTAAAGCTTCTCTAATTAAATAATGTCTTAGTTTTCTTGTGTTTTTTTTATTCAGAACACTTTTTCAGTAAGATGGAGTCTGATTTTGTAAAAAAAAAAAAAATTGTTTTTAATTCTTCAAAATATCTGCTTTTAACTAATATAGTCACTAAAAATTATCACTTTGAATTTCTCAAGTTTCATAAAGTAATAAGGTGAAACACATAAAAAAAAAAAAAATTACCAAAATTTTCTAATTTTTTATTTATGAATAATTCCTGGCAATTATTTGATTTTTGTAATAATTTCCAAATTAATATGTCTGTCACCACAAAAGAAAAAAGAGGCTAAATTTGCAATGCTAAAAGTTAGTACAACTACTGATGCAAGAAAATTTTGAATGTTCTAAAAAGGAGTAAAAATTTTAATTAAATATTCACAAATACTTTGATCCTTCCTCTTAATAATAATAAAGATTTTGATGATAAAACTGTTTTCATTATGTTTTGGAGCATGTTTTCATCATGGTATGCTGATTTTTTTTTTTTTTTTTTTTTTTTTAGCAATTTCATGGAGGTACCCACATTTAATGATCATTCTTTTCTTTTTTTTTTTTTTTTTTTTTTTTTTTTTAAATTATTATCTTCTGGTCCAAAATGATTCTATCATTCCATGTTTGTTAATCAGTTTTTAATCTTCTGTATCAAAATGTTCTGGTATTCAATTTATATTTACTGCAGTTACAACTTAATTTCTGCATTGCTCATATATTACAGATAACATTTCCCTGTTATCATGGGCCCCAGAGTGGGCATGTACTGGGCATTTTCCACAATCAACTCAACTTTCACTTTTTTTTTCTTTATAGCTGGTGGTGTGTTGTATATAATCTTGATATTGGAGAAAAAAAAATAATGTTTCAATTTTTGTTTTCCTTTACAAGTCCTGCCAGAAAAATTCAAATTCAAATATTCAGTATTGAGAGATTGATATTGTCAATTGTCAACACTTTTTTTTTTTAATTTTGAAAGTTGAAATTGGGATGCATTTTTGAAGCAATAGCAACTTCAACACCAGGAAATAAATGAAATTCATATATATAAGGGGTCAATAAATTTATTATCTGATATTTTTTGTGGATATCCATATTTGAGTAGACACATTGTTTTTTGTTTGTTTGTTTTTTTGTTTTGTTTTTATCAAAGCTTGTACAGGCTAATAGATGTAATTTGCACTGTTTTAAAATTTTTTAAAAAATAGGGCATCTGCTCAATTATGAGTATCCACAAAAAAATGTCAGATAATAAATTTGTAGTAGTAGGAAATAATATCAGTTAAAAAAAAATTCCTTAAAAATATATAAAAAATTAACTTTACATTTTATTTGCAGTGTTTATTGTCATTTAAGAGCTGCTATTTTTTTCTTTTTAGGAAAGAAATATTTCAATCTACTTATATAAATTTTGTAAAGCAAAGATATTTTCGTATTTGGGGAAAAATGTATTTTTTCTCTTCAAAATCAACATTAATTTGACATTAAGGATTCCATTTTGTATGTTATTTCATGGAAACTCATTCTTAATTTTGTGATAATTGTTTTAAATAAATAACAATATTATCACACATGACTAATACAAGTATTTCACTGGGGAACCAAATGGAAATACTTTGTAGAAATATTAAGCAGACTTTAAAGAGACTAGGAATCTATGATTCAAGCTAATGTTGGAAGAGATCTAATGCTTCAGATCACTTTAAAAAGATTATTCTCCTGTATGTAATTGTCAAATACATAAATCAACTAGTTTCAACAGTTTTGTATGCAAATTTGGCTGGAAATTTCAAAGTTTATATAAATCATTGAAAAAGGTTTTTCATTTTATTTTGACTTAATTCAGTTTATTTGATATTTCAAATTAACATTTTTTTAAGAAATACATAGTAAAAATAAAATAAATTACCTCTATTAATGTAAAGTGTTAATTATTACAAAATAATTAATCTAATGAATAAAGAATTTATTTGATTTGATAGTGTACAATAATCAAAATGTATCCTGAACATAGTTCCACTATTAAGACATGCTTTTGTAGATAAAATTCTGCAAAAAGAAACTGTAATACATGGGTTCAATCCCTGATACCTGCTTAGTAAAACTCATTTTCATGTTCTCAGCTTATGTTAGAGAAAAAATATTTCAATTTGATAGTCAATCATACACTTACGAAATTCTAGTAATAGCTCTAAAATTTAGTGGAAAATAATACTGCTCCAGTGTCTCATAATAGTTGTTACATTTGCATACATGTTTCATACACTAAATGTACCAACTATTATGGTACAGAATTTGTAAAATTAAAAAAAAAATAAAACAGCATAATTATAAAAAATGAACTGATTAGTATCCTTAATATCTGCATTTTTTTTTTTTTTTTAATGTATCCTTATATTTTCAGCAGCCTCTACTGAATGTCACACAAAGGGAATATATATATATATATATATATATATATATATATATATATATATATAATTATTATTTTTTTTTTCATTGCTCATTTTCACTGCCAGTGTTGGGACACAGCTTTCTTCAATTCCCTTTGGGCCAGCTTTGTCTTGCTCCCTTATTCCTGTATGTATGTAGATGTATATATATATATATATATATATATATATATATATATATATATATATATTTTCAATTGACAAAACAGTATTTTTGGAAGTCAGTTTTTTTATGTACCCAAATAACTTTAATCTGTGTTTTTTGTTTGTTTTGGGTTTTTTTAAACAGATTTGTAAATTTCTTTAAAAATATCATTGTTGTCTATCATAGTTCTTGTCACTCTTTTTTTAAAAAAAATCTTTAGTCAAGTCAGTGTCAATCTGGTTCATAAAGCCACCTGAAAAGTGCAGTGTCCGATATCTTTTGTATTTTTTTTTCATATTGTCACATATGCTATGTTGTTAAGTTGTATTTGTAAATGGTGTTGATTTCTTAAGTAAAATTGAACTTGTGCATTTAAATATTGAACACAATAACCTTTTTAATTAAAATGAACAACATTGACTATTCAAATGGCAATGGTCTTCATTTCATTTATTATTCAAATTCAGTTTTGTAGTAAATTTTATAGAAATTATTGTGAGGATTAAGAACGCACATGAATATTTTTTTTTTTTTATTATAAATGAAAAAAGAAAAAACAGCTTTTAGGCATTCTTGTTGACTGATTTAATTAGGTTCTATTCCGGAAGTTGATGTACCAACCCAGATAACAAGCCAAGACTTTAAATCTTGACTCGTCCAATTCTTATTTCCCTTAATTTGGTGCTTGTATTTTCTGAAGATATTATTAGAAAAATAATTATATAAAAAAGATAATGCAACTCCTAAATCTTATGTTAATTCACTAGCACTATTCAATAAAATAAACCTTTCCAAAAAGAATTTACTAAATTTTGCATTAAAGATCAAAATAATTTTAATTTTTGTTAACCATAGTGATAATTTGGCAAGGGAGTCACACTTGCATTTTTTGCAAAAAAGATATT